CCATTCTGGGATTCTATGATTAAAAGATGAGTTTTCCAGAGAGGTATCATCAGGCCAAGAGACTTTTTGATCGGGGGTGGGGAGAAAAGTGTAGAGTAAGGTTTGTATTTACATTACATTAAAAAAATTCCTCTGTGTATAGGACACAAGACTGGCCTCAGCTTCCCCAAAAGAGTCACTTGAGTTCAAGATTAAGGCTGTTTTTCCTATTGCCATCCACTGATCGTGCTGGTTGTTAGAATAGCTGCAGCAAGGTTGGTTCTGTGGCCTGTAAGACTGCAAAAGGTTGAGCATCACTACAGCGTGGTATCTTAAGACACTTTTTTGGTGGTTGTTTTGTGGTGGGGTTTGGTTTAGTTTTTTTAATTGTTTTATTTTTTTTGGTGAAGTGGAACTGGGCACGCCTTGTAATTCAGCCAGGTTTGGTCAATCCCCCGTTACTGTAACGGCATCTTGCATCACTCCTTAAATCCCTGAGCATCAGATGTCGGTGGTTTCTTGAGGATTTCTCTCCTTGAATAACACCACCGCTGTGGGGCAAAACCTGCCGCAAACATCATTGAACAAACTTGTGTGTACGGTAGGCTTGAAGTTCTTACCTGTCAAACGTTAATCTGTTTGATTTAATTTTTTTTGCTGGTATCTATGGTTACCTGAGTTAATGGGATATAGAGCACTTATGGATGAATTACTTCATCTCCTATTTTTAGACAGAAGAATTTAAATGAGCATATCCATCAGAAATGCTGCAAGCAGCTGTTGGTATTTCAGTTGGTTACTTCAGTAATGCATTTAAAATCCAGGGAATGTTCTGTGGAATACTTCCTGTTTTCCTGAGTACCACAACTAGGCTTATCCCCATGGGGTCCCGCGTGTAAACTTTATTTCTGTCCGTGTATATTTGGCATCTTTAGCGGATGTTTGACAGCTGTGTCAAAAGGAACACGGTTGACCTGTCCCCACTGTATTTGGAGGGATGCCCTGAGCCCACCTTCGTGGTCAGATTCACCGTCCGTCCAGAGAGGAGGTGTTCAAACACCACCCTGGCTGTGGTCGTTGGCTTCCATCAAAACCTGGGGCGTACCGCTTCCAGGGGACACCCTTGTGCCTCGTGTCCTGCCAGGCTCCGGGGCTGGCCAGCTGGAGGATACCGGCTGGTTCCCTGGCGCCAAAACTCATCATCCCATCAGGATTCAGGATTACACTGCGCTCCTGGATATGCCGAAAATCTTTTTAAGAGCCACGTTGTAATAAGCCACTGCTTGTTCAGTCAGGTTGAGTGGTGTATGCCAAGGTATTTTGGGGGTTTCTGATTTTACTGTTGTAAATAAAGTAACCTTAATTGGTTTAATTTGTTCAGCATGTTGTGGTGAGCAGCGATGTTGACTAGTTGTGTTCTGGGAAGTTTTTCAGTTGTGTTTAATCAGACCTCAACGAAAAATCTTTCAGTATTTTACACAGGAATTTCTTTTTCCCCCCACTCAGTTAGGGGTAAGTGCTTTTTTTTCTTGTAGTAATGCCATAACAAAGAAACTAGATACTACGAAAATACTGCTGGATGTAGTCTGGATGCTAAAAATCAGCTGGGTTACATCCCTGAACAGGAGGGGACACCATGGCTGTAAGAGTGCTGCTGCGTAACCTGAGAGCCTGCCTAACATTAGCTGCAGAAATCTGGGAGACTGGTGGAGACTTCTGGGACACTTCTCATATGTATTTTTAATTGTTTCTACATAGCTCTTCCTAATTAAGGCAAAATTGTCTGTTTTGAATGACAAATAGGATTTTTTTAATGTATTAGAGAAAAACACTGGAAATCTGTTCTAGGAAAACTAATTGAGTAACTGCCACAAACGCTGCTCTGTATGTGGACTAGATAAGTTTCTTTTTAAATTCCCTGCCACTGCAGCATTAGCCCTGAATGTCCTGATCCACGATGATGAACATGAAATAGATGTGAGTTTAGAATGTGTGGCATAAACAGTGGCCCGTAGAAGTGCAGCAGGAGGGCGAAATAGTAGCTGTAATGATGTGATTGTCCAGCTGAAGAGATCAGAGGAAAGGAGCTGCTTGCTGTTATTTTTGATTATTCACCAAACTACTGTGGAGGAGGATGAGCTGGGTGAGGTGAGCTGGGGAAGGCAGAGGGAGGGGAAACGCAGGACGTGCACTCTGTAATTCAGAACTAAACTGCAGTGATTCTGCTCCACTCCCTTGTTTTTCACATTTTGTACCATTTTAATAGTTTTATGAGAAAATATTTTTATAAGATGTTCTTGACATCAGTTCTTTTTTTGAACTGGCAATTGATCTGGATTAGATAAATGCCAAACGATGCCTCCCTTAGGCTGTCGTTGGCCGTAAGGTGATGCCAGTGTGGAGCTGAGGCAACCACTCATTACTACGGTTTGTCGTTCCTAGGAAACCAGGATTCGAGCTGTGGATAAGGACTCCAAGAGACGAACTAGTAACTTCTCTGTTATCAACCCCGTGTCTGGCGAGTCTGTGATGCAACTTTTTGCTACTGACAGTAGGGAAGAACTTCATAAGTGGATGGAGGCCTTCTGGCAGCATTTTTATGATCTGAGTAAGTAAGCAGGCAGCGCTGGCAGTGTGCCCTCCGAGTGGGGCGTTACGTAACATCAGAGGGATCTTTGAGCAATTTGAATGGGAATTGCCTCATAAGCCTTTGTTTGCAACGATGAGAAGAAAAATGTTCTTTGGGATAATATTGGGCGGTGGTCTAAGCCGTTGGAAGGCAAATATTTGACTGAAGCAAAGTCCACGTGTTCAGTGTGGGATTTTGCAGGCAGCCAGGAGCAGAGTATGAACTGGGTCTCGGCAGTGACCTGCTAAAAGAGAGGTTTAAGGGCTGCTAAATTCTCACCCTCTCTTCCTCCACTGTAGCAGGAAGCATCCACCTCTGCCTAGGCACCCTACAGGGGTGTGTTGGTTTTGTGAGATACTGCAAGTATGAAACCTGGGGGCCTGGAAGCCTTAGTGGGAAGAGGTGGGGATGCTGGATTCATCTGGGGCCTTGGCTAGGATGCAGATTCATGTCTGTGGGAATTCCTTGCTCAGCAGTTTGCTATTTGTTGCAGTTGGATTTTCTGTTGGTAATTGTCAGGGTTTGGTACCCCTTGTCAAGGGGAATCTGCTCACGTAGCCGCACTCCAGTCGTGCAAATACACACTGCCTATAGATCCTGGTATCAGCTGTACCAGAGCCTTTAACCAGAGGATAAAGACGAGGTGATCAATTGATACCCTAACCCTTTGGCTACCTTCTGGAATAATGCTGCTCTTACAGGAGAGAAGAAACTCATTTATTGGTGTAAAACAATGAAGCAGTATTGAAGTAGTCTACTGTGTTGCTTGTTGAACACCAAATATTTATTATTAGAACTACATAGATTTATTTGTCTTTGTCTTAGCCTTTTTCCTCTATTCCTTTTTAGTGGTTTGACTCACAGGTTTATTAATAGTAGCCAGCAACTGTCAGTTATTATGCTGCCATTGCCTAGGTATAGTTGGTTCCTGTTAGTGGTTTTCATGAGGTCAGAAACCAGAACCAGGTCAGTGAATGAAATACCAGTCTTTAGGCAAAGGCCACACCAGTAAAATCAGTGAATTGAGGTTGCGGAAACTAGGTACTGTGGTTCCTATTTCTAGTCCTTTTTAGCTCTGGTTTACAATGAGAAAAGGCTCTATCAATTCAAGAAACACACCAAGCAAAAACTAGGGCATCCTCTTTAAATTAATTGTGGAGTGGGGTAAAAGAACTACTTCTTATTCATTATAGATAGAATACCCATGGATTTTTCTGAGACATTTTCCTTAGGTTCAGAAAAAATGGGTCACTTGGCATTTAAATGCCTTTTTTCTTCCCTGGTTCTAAAATTCTCTTAAAATTAATGTGCTCAGAAAACTTGGAATGATTGGTATGAACAAAGTGATTTTACTGTGTCTTGTTTTCCTTAAGGTCAAAATCTATTAATAGAAAAAGAGGTCTCCTCGTTTGCTAACGGATAAAAGGCACGTTATCCTCTATTAAAGACGGAACGTTCCTTTACCTTAATGTCCTAACGTAGCTGTGTAACACCCAGCTTGCCGTCTGTTGGAGGTTGTCCCCCATAACTTCCTTAACCATAATGTTCTTTCAGGGAGTTTTTTTGATGACTTTATATTTTATTTGGGGAATTGAAGACAAATTTATGCTATGTAACCTTCATTGTATCACTGCTGGGACGCTTAACTTAGAGGTGGTAGCTGATGCCCTCTGTGCTAAGAGAACGAGTGCAGAGTTGGAAATACAAGTGCATCCTGAGCATCCAGAAGTAAATGCTTACTGATTAGCGGTGCTTTGGATATAGTTTCCTAACACGACCTAATAACTTCAATTTTTTTTTTTTTTAAAGTGTTTGTTCCAGTCATTGTTCTCTCTTCTCTCTCAGGCCAGTGGAAACATTGTTGTGAAGAACTTATGAAAATTGAGATTATGTCACCACGGAAACCACCTTTGTTCCTGACAAAAGAAGCGACCTCCGTCTACCATGATATGAGTAAGTGGGATTTGTCTTTTCAAGTTGCAGGGTAACAGAAAAAACATTGTCTATGTTCAGATGGCTTCTGGTGTGGATGTTGAAACACTGAGTTTTTCAAGGGCAGTTCAGACAATGGAAGAGCAACATAATTGCATACCAAGGAGTTCATATTAAATCTGAATTTGTAATAGCACGAATAATGAATGCATTCTTACACCGTCAGCCAAAAAATCTGCAATCTGGACTGTAACTGGGGAGCCCTGAACGCATTCAAAAAAGCTGTCACTAGAAATAAACATTCATCCTAGGAGCAGTGTAAAGCTCAGGAAATGTAAAGGTAAAATGCCTGGTCCGCAAAGCAGTGATGTCTTTAACTAGTTGCATGAAATTAATTAGCTGTTCTTAAAGCTGTTTAAAGGCTTACCTAACACAGCTTACCTCATGTTTGGTCTTCGATAATGATGTTGAAAAATACGCTTGGAAAATCTATCTAGTGTGTACCTGAGGCTTCTATTTTCACAGAGCAAAATGGTATGCAGCAGGATTATTTTAATAGTTTCATTACAGAAATAATATTTACAGACTAGAAAAAGTAGGTCACTTTGTTTTAATGGATCCAGTGCAGTATTGGCTGAGAAGCACTGTACAGCTCTAAATGCCTGACTGCTTGAGATTGGAACGGTGAAGGTGCTCAAAATGCCACGTGGGTCATCGAGTTACCGTGCTTCAGAGCACTCAGCGGTCGGGAGAGTCCTATCCAAGCTACGGATGCAGAGCAGAAAGGCAGTAAATCAGCTATATAGAAGTTTTATGAAAGTAACACTGTAGCGCAGTTCTACTGATACTGAAGTACCTCAGTGAGGAACAGAACACAAACACTGTTTCACTCTTAATATACCTTCCCCGCCCCCCCCCAGCTTATTTATCGTCTTAAAGGTAAAACCCTGTGTTTAAAAATGTGTTGAAAATCATGAGCCATTTGGCCTGCGATAGGAGAGGTATTGCTGCTGTTTTGGAGGCTGGTATTACTGTGGTATATATATAAGACTCAATATGAGGGATAAGAAATGAGGCAAGACAGTCCTAAAGCACATAAAGAAAAATGATATATGTAAAGATGTCTCATTTTCTGCAAGCTGGAGGCACAAGAATATTTACTCACAGGCTTTTTCATGGGCCTTCTGTGAAACGAAATTTTCGAAGCAATGTACAACAAAATGTGTTTAATATCTAATACATACAGGTTTCCTAGTAGTACATTATTTTCTTTTTCTGCTTTTACTTGGAAAGAAATATCACTGCCTGCCCTGTTGCTTCAGTGCCAGCTGTCACAGAAACAGTTCCCTCCTGTCACCTCGGTTTTCTCTCTGAAAGCATGTGTAATCTTTTCCAGTCCATCCAGTAACCCTCTCGGTAGTGGTCCAGGCTTCGTGAGACACAGTTAACACAGTGTTGTATTCTGAAGAGTAATAATGAAATAGGTAGTGGTAAACTCAAATGCAGCTTTTCAATCCGAGTTAATTGCTGTCCCTTAAAATTGCAGGCATCGATTCTCCAGTGAAACATGAGGGCTTAGCTGATATCATACAAAGAAAAATCGAAGAGAGCGACGGCGAGTTCCTGCTTGGCCAGCAAAAAGAGGCTGCCTCTCCCTTATGGGCTTCACTCTTTGATGGATCTCATGAGGTGGTGGTTCAGAAAAACACGCACCTGGGCCCAAAAAGGGACACCACGAGTCCTAAGGATAGTAGAGGGAAGAAAAGAAGAGCTCCACCTCCACCCTCCGATAAGTCACCGTACAGTGCAAAAGCACAGGTGAACACAGGGCAACTGGGCAAGGAAAACTGGGAGGAGTCCAACCGCACATCTGCTGGTAGCTCTGCCTTTGACTCCAAGTCATCCGGGAAAGCGCAGCAGTTGCAGACACCCATCGCTGCTCCTCGCAGGATGGGTCCTTGTCGGAAAAGCAGTTTGGCTGGCCATGGGAATCCCATTTCACTGGTTAGCAAGACTGAGCCTGAAACCAGATCGGTACGAACCCCTAGACAGAAACGCATCGCGGAAATGTTAGACCCGAGATCGTGGCTGCAGCCGTAGACATCATGGTTAGCTTAGGAGAGACCCTGGGATTTGAAGTTTCCTAGCCTTCTACAATAACTCTTGAGTAAAAATAGGTTTTAGCCTATAGCTTGTAAGTATTGAGGCTGAGGTTTGTTTCTTTTAGCCACGGCATTACTACTAGCTACAGCCTGACCTGTGCCATTATTGCTAACGTCTAAATAACTGCGCTGCTAACGGGGCAGTTATCTCCGTCTGAAATAACGGTGCTACAAGGTACCCGTCCCCCTGAAAGGCCAGCAGTGTTGAGGGCAACTCCGTGTCCCTGCTGCAGGGGTGTTACCGTTGCCTTCTACCAGTCCCTCAGCTCAGCCCATCTGCAGCTCCTCCGACTGGTGCAGGTGGGAGTTTCACACGCACGTTCAGCACAGATCCTGCAAGGCTGGTTGTCTTGGGTCGGTGCTTGGCTTCACCTAAAATATTCTTGTGTCTCCCTGGCTGTTTGGGAACCACTGCCCATAGGGATGCGACCTGTGAAAAGTTACTGTGCGCTTCTGAACGGCTCTCTGACTCTGTATGAACTTGTGAAGCTGTTCTGTCAGCGTGGTGTGGGATCTCCTAGGCTCTTGCTGGCGCGTGCGCTGTCTGAAGGGACCGGGATTATCTGCATACGAGCGAGGTAATCTGTCGCTGCTGCTCATTTTGGACTAACACGGACGTTTCAAAGCAGGGCCGTGTATGAACACTTCTTCAGGATTTCATTTGGATGGTGTGTGTTTTCTGACAAAGGGGGCTCTGTAGCACAGCTCCTCTGTGGAGCCTCTCGGCTGTTCCGGGGAGATGGCTGGTTGGTGAACACGGCAGCCTCACTGGGAGACAAATAGAAGGGGTTTTCACCACTCGTTCTTTCTGAAACGACACAGAATGAGCAATTCCGGTGAAAGTATTGAACTTTCCTGTTCTTCCATCCGACGGTTCATTGTTTTGTAAGAAGCATGGCTTACTAGGGTTCCTGTGGCACCCGCAAAACTTCTGTTGCATGCGGAAAAGATTCTGTTCTCCAGGATCCACAGCTTAAATAGCCGACCCTCTCCTTGGCCGATGCCTTTCTCTCAGATGCTGGGACTTACACCAGATCTGTCTGCTGGCAGATCCCACTCTAGGGCCCTGGTGTCCAGACCTATGCTGAGGGAGTCATGTCAGCAACTCTGTACCTACAGTTGACCAATTTTATTTTGTTTTTCCTAAAGTGTGAGTGGCTTTGGGAGCGTCACTGTTTCTCCACATGATATTGATGTGTGGTTGTTTGGTTTGTTTATCTGTTTTTTTGTTTTGTTTTGGGTTTTTGGTGTGGGTTTGGGTTTTTTTGTTTGTTTGTGGGTTTTTTTGTGCTGGGTTTTTTTTTTGTTCCTTCTGCTAAGCTCTTAGCTGTACAGGTATCTGCTGAATTCCCTCAGTAGTTCATTGGCTATTTGGGATGGGGCTGGAGAGGCAGGTTACATTTACAAATCCTTTTGCAGGATTTAGAGCCCTTCATTTCTGGAATGTCCTTGTTCATTCTTCATTTAATCACATTCAATTTTCCCTCTGAAACAACAATAATCATTCTCACAATAAATCCTGCTGTTACTGAAGTGGACGGTTGGTGGATGGCTTATAAATAGGAACAGGAAAACTGAAGAATAACTACATGACTATGTAAATTAGATACAGTCGACTGAGTGTACTGTGCAACTCCGAACAAGAAACAGGAAAAATAAACACAAGGGGGAAAAAAAAGGTGTATTTTCCAAAATGCAGCTGCAGTTTATTTAGCTTTAAACCTGGCCTTAAATGTTGCTGTGCTCTGGAAAGAAAGAATACCTTTTTCTTGGTAACCCCCTTCCAGTTAGTTGTTATTTCAAAATGAGCCTCATAAATATATAAGGCGAGGAGGCACCATAACGAGGATTTGTTTTTAAATTCAACAGGCCGTTGAATTTCGACGAGCAGTTTCTCTATTAAATTCAGTGGCTTTGTTTTTAACTGCAACATACGCGTTTTAGGAAGGCATTTAATATTCATTTAATGTCTTCAAGTGATGAGAACTCATTCATACCTCCTGTTGCAATAGTTAATTACCCCAGGTACACTTTTCATGTGGTTCTCTATTTGCATTTCTAGCTCCACCTTTAAGTTATTTTGGTCTTTCTCTGCCTCTGATTGCTTATATTGATCTCTGTAGTATCAGCTTTTCTAATTGCTTGTGTGTAGTTATAAATCATGATTATGTCCCTTTTAACCTTTTCTCTGATGAGACGTACTGAATTCCTTGACTCTTACGGCAGTGAATGCTCTCCAACACTAATTAATCTTTGCGTTCTTCTCTGTACCTCTGATGTGTTGAAATATTTTAAAGTGTGACCTCTGAACTCGATGCCACCTGTCAGTAGTGATCCATCAGGAGTACACAGAGACATAATGTGATCTTCTTACTCTGATTAATAATCTCCACTCTTTCTTTGGGGGAAGCATTGCCTTGGATGCTCTTACGGCTCAAAGTCCTCTTCAGAGCCTTTTTCAAGGATGCGGTACCTCATCCTCTTATTATCCTACCTTATTTTTTTCCTAGAAATATACACTATGTTTTACCAGCATTAAAATACTGCTCATGAAGTGATCCAGATTGCTCTGTGGAAGTGACCTGTCCTCATCCTTTACTACTCCAGTAGTCTGCACATCCTTCGCAAATTTATTGCAAGTGATTTTTACAGTTTCTTCCAGATCATTGATTTTTAAAATTGAATGCAAGGCAAGGTTTGTGGAGAGAGGTGATAAGTTTTTATTACATCAGTGACACGGGTAGGGGGTGGGGAAAAGCAAACAGAGACAGGCCATTGAGTTCATGTCCCTTTTTTCCCCCGGAGCCTTTAAAATACTGACTAAGATGGAAGTTCCACAACAAACAACTAGACTTCTTGCTGATTCCCTATTAATACTGCATTTTGAAATTAGTTTTCTGTCTTTAACATGACATGCTATACTGATGGGATCTACTACTGGTATTTTAAAGAAAATGGCATGTTCATCAGCAGGTGACTTGCATTTCTAAGGGGTAACGCCTCAGTGCAGGTGTCTTTGCAAGCCGAGTGGTCCACGACCTGTTCTCCATGAACCTGTGTTGACTGATGTGTTATATCTACCCTTAAGTTGGGCTCATGAGCCAGTTCACTCTCTTGCCCTGATCACCACTAAGCCAACTAGGCCGTTAATTACCCTGATGACCCAGCTTCACAGCAACAGTGTTGTTCTTACGGTGCTGTGAAGCATCGTGGGGGTGTTGAGACTTGTTGCACTGATTGTACGTTAAGGCTCCGATGGCTGGAAAGGCTACCAAATGCCCTTTCTGCTGCTTGAGACAACCACTCTATCATCCCTCTTATGAAGCAGCAGCTGATTTTGGGTTTTAGCATTTACTGTTACTGTTTAGCTTTTTTTTTTCCCCCTTCTATACTGCCATTTATTTTTGCCCTCGTGTCTTCTGTCAAGCAAGTTGGTTAAACTGATAAAAGCTGCAGGCCACCGGCAAATGTTGATCTTGGCTGTACAGTAAAGTCAGGTGTAGGAAGTACGTTTGTACTCAGCTTTTGTCTATGCAAGAGAACACAAATATTAGGGATAAAAACGGAGCACGATTTCAGGTGTATAATTAGAAGATACATCTGTGAGGAAAACTGTCATTTATTGGCTTTCCCACATAGTGACAAATTGTAATATGTTATTACTGATACTGGCCCTTTATCATTGCTTGGGCCTGTTCAGAAATTAGAGCTGTGCTTTGGTGTGGTTTTTCCCTCAAGTTCTCCTGACTGTAATGAGGATGAATATGCAGAGTAGGAATTAAGACCAATAAAAGGCTTGTGCCCAAGCTCTCTAACAGGAGGAAGCCAGCCGTGTGGCGTTTGAGTCTTTGCACCGAGCCGCTTCCCAGGCTGTGCAGGACGTGGCCCGCGGCGGTTGCTGAGGCCCGTCTGTCGGCAGCGCGTGGGGCTGGGGAGCTGTTGGCTTTCATCCCTCAAAGCAGAGGCGAGGGGTGCCCAGGAGCAGCCTGTTCCTTGTGGGACATGGTGGAAACCATTTAACTGCCGCTTCTGGGCGCTACGAGAGAACGTACCCGTGGAGCCGTCTTGGTGGGTGCTTTGACTGACGAGGGGCCTTCAATTGCGTGACTCAAAGTATTGGTGACCAGCCCCCAAAAGTCGTTCGATCAGCACCGATCAGCAATGCTGAAATAGGAGCTATTTCACAAGGGCACAGGTGCCATTAGCCAGCCTCCCGCTGGGACGAGGCCTGGAAGACGGCAGGCGGCCTGTGCCTTCTCCCAGCCCTTGGCTCAAGTTGTTCAAGTTTGTGTGGCCAGGTCAGTGTGCCACTGCCTGGCAGCAGAGTCCATGGAAAAATGCTGCTTTTTCAGGCACTGCACGCAGAATGAACGGCTCAAACTACCCAGAACAGCACGGGGAAGGCCTCGGTGGCATCTGCTACGGCGGAACTACGCAGGTGATGAGGTGCTTGTCTGAGGAACGTCAGGCCCACTCTGAGAATGGTACCAGCTTGTTTGCTGCTGGGATGAGTTAACTGCTGCCTAAAAGCAGAATTTGAGACAACAGTCAACCTGAGCTCTTCTTTTAGGAAGAACAACTTGAAAGCGGTTGTGAGCCCAAACTTGAATATAAATTCCACAGAACATGAACAACTTTAGAAATATTGACTGAACAAAGACCTGATTTAGTAATTTTCTATATTGTACCTAATGTCTTCAGCTGCTCGCTTGGTCCTGGAACGGTAGGTGGTACCTTTTGCCATTTTAAAGTGCGTTAACTTAAAATGTTTACATTTTTACTAGTATTGTGATTTTATTTTTTCCTATGTCAATTATACTATTAGTTATTTTATGGTGGTTTGTACATGTTTGGAAATACTGTCGTAGTATTCAGAGTGGATTTGTAATCTATGTAGATTGCCTTTATAGAAAAATGCAGATTTGGAAACTAATGTGT